AAAAAACCTACCAAAAAAAAAAAAAAAAAAAAAAAAAGTAGGTCAGGATGGGAAAGGACAGGCCCAATGGAGGGTGCGGGTATGGCAAAGCTAGAAGAGGAAAGGCCAGATGGAGGAGTGACTGGGAAGGGTAGGGCTAAAGGGAAAGGCGGGGCCAAATATGGGCGGAGCTCAAAGAGGCGGAGGCTGGGTGGGCGGGGTTAAGAGTGGGCAGGGCTAAGTGTATGGACCAGGGCTCTCAGAGGAGAAAGGGAAGGAGGGTAGGAGAGATCGCCTGCAGGCTAGCATGGGCCTGATCCCATGGGCAGCTCTGGAGGGAGGATTGTAGCACAGAGTTGGCCAGAGAGAGGTAAGGGGCCGGCTTCTTATCCGTCCGTATCATTCTGTCACTGGCTGCTGGGGGAGTGGCAGGAAGACCTGCCCTGGCGAGGTGTTTCCTGTTCTGCTGAGGGCATCTGTCCAGAGGAGGAACAACAGTGAGCCAGTAGCATCGAGCAGGGCACCGAGATCATCCACTTCAGCCGGCGTCAGTATTTTTAGGAACAGTCCACCACTGCCCCGCCCCTTGTAGGTTCTTTGACAAGGGAAGCAGGACTATGAAACTATGAAAGGAAAGTGATTCTGGCCAATTGGTGCTGCTCTTCCTAACACAGAAATGCCCAAAGGCCCGAGGAAAGGGGTGGTGGACTCTTAGTCCACTATTGCATTGCTAACAGAAATACCCAAGGCTGGTTGATGTTATTGGTTTTCCACAGTGATTAGGGCAGCTAGATCCCACACCCCACACCGCTAATTTTGCGTCCCAGACTGGACAGCTTGAAGAACACACCAGGCTCGTGTATGTGCCCAAGATCTCAAGAGGAGGAGAATGAAGAAGGGATTGAGGCATAGCTATATCCCCCCGCCCCCATGGGTGATTTCTCACTTTCTTTTTCTGTCTCTCTGTCTCTTTCCAGTGAGGGCATGAGACCTATAGCAAAAGAAAGAAAGAAAGAAAGAAAGAGAGAGGGAGAGAAAGAGGGAGAGAAAGAGGGAGAGAGAGAGAGAAAGGGAAAAGAAATATAGATTTATTCAGTTCAGTTCATGATTTGGAGGTCAAAGGTCCAGGGGCCATGTTCTGGTGAAGCTACAACGTGGCTGAGGGCAGATCTCGAGCAGAGCAGCAGCTGTCTGTTATCTGAGTCTTGTTCTGGTCTCATTCCCTGTTTTTATACCCACTGGAACTCGATCACAGGGGCTCCACTCTGGGATGCCATGAAAGAGTTAAGTTTTCACTTAACATGTTTAAATGTAATCAAGTCCCAACCCATGACTTTTTTTTTTTAAAGAGGTTTTGGCCATAGGTCATATGTGCTTGCCAGAGAGAGACAGAGACAGTGAGAGAGAAAGTGAGAAATCACCCCCCAAGGAGGATGGCCATGCCACAATCCCTTCTCCTCCATTCTCTTCCTGGGGTCGTGATCACACACAAACACACACACACACACACACACACACACACACACGAGCCCAGCGTGATTTTCAAGCTACTGAGTCAGGTACTCAAACTGCAGCCAGACACGTGGGAGTCCAGGGATTAACCATTGTGCCACCTGCTGCTCCTCCCCCAACCCATGACTTTTTAGAGGACATCCAGATTAAAAAACATGAACTTGGGACCAGCAGTTGGCATAATGGCTATGTTGCTGGACTCCCATGTAGCCGACCACAGTTCGAGTCCCAAACCCAGTGGCTTGGACTCATGCCAGGCACATGCGCCTGACAGCCCCACATCCTGAGAGGAGAATGGAGAAGGGATTGTGGCATGGTCATCCTCCCTGGGGAGTGATTACTAACTTTCTGTCTCTCTTTCTCTCTCTGTCTTTCTGGCGAGCACACACGCCCTATAGGAAAAACTTCTCAAAAAACAAGAACAAAAACAAAAAAACACATGAACTTTTGAAGGACAAACCATTATCCAGACCACAGGGGCTCAGGCACTGCCCTCTGTGGAAGGGGCAGAAAGGGCACAGCCTTCCAGAGCAAGACTCATTGTCTGGTCCTAACCCTAGAGCCTTGGAGGACAGACCCAAAGGGCTCTCCAGGCTGCTGTCGACCCCCCTGGAGGATATCCAGAGCCCTCAACCTCCCACCCCAGACTCCCACACACACACCTGTGGGCCAAGCATGACCCAGTGGCCAGGTGCATAGGTGCCCATGCTATCAGGGGAAAGAGCTATTCCTGGGCACAGGAGGCATCCCCGTGCAGGTGTCAGTATGAAAGCAAGGCTTTCCCCAGCCAGAACAAACACTCCCACCCTAGTGCCCTCCTGTTTACCCGCCCTGCTTCCTCCCACACTGTCACCCAGCTGCCAGCTCAGGAAGGGCTGGCCCTGGGCAGGAAGGTTCCATCCCCATCTGGTCAGAATCTGGGGAACCCCGCAAAACCATAAAGTAGTTCCCACAGGGATCCCCTGCCCTGATGCAGGGAATAGCAGATCCTAATGTTTCTGTCCCCTCCCCACCCTCCCACAACTGGAACTTCACTGCTTCCTTCTGTATCAGTTTCCCTGGGAACAAATTTCTCCTGGGAGTAAGGAGGCCTGTGGCCACTGTCTGCCCCAGCCTGGTGGAGGAAGAGGGCTCATTGAGCCCAACAGGGTCCCCCACCCTCTCCTCTGATCCACTGCACTCCCCACTCTGTACTAGAGTCTGCTAACACCCCCAGCCAGATCTCGGCTGGCCAGCCCTGCGCTGGGAAGGGGATCCTTGCCACAGCCAGCCAGCTTGGGAAGCTTGAAGCAGCGGATGCCAGGTGTTCTAGGTCTGCACCTCGTCTAGGGTCTCGTCCTGCAGGGTGAGACACCCTTGGCCACGGTCCTCCCCTACCTGGTCACAGGGTGGCTCTGAGGCAGCTCCAAATCTGTGCAGCATAGAGGGAAAGCCACGGGCGGACAGGGTGTGATGAAGCAGGAGGTGGGATCTCACGTGCCCTGGGATACAATCGTGGGTGATAGCCACAGTGCTCCCTAATCCTGCCCACCACCCATCCTCAGGCTGGCCTGGTGTCTCGAGAGGATGCAGAACAACTGCTCATTGCTCTGGAGCCCGAGGCCGCCTCAGTCTACTGCCGCAAGCTGCGTCTGCACCAGCTCATGGACCTGAGCAGCCGGGCCCCGGGAGGGGGGCGCCTGGGCGAGCGCCGCTCCATTGACTCCAGCTTCCGGCAGGGTGAGCCTGACCTCTCAGGGGCCCTGCCCTGACCTGGCAGAGCCCAATCTGAGAGCCAAGGTTTCTCCTTGCCCCGGAGGAGCACAGACTAAAGAGGGCGGGAGTCAGGGTGTCCCTGATTTGGGAGCTCGGGGAGACACAGCCCACCCCAGAGGAAGGTGCTTGGGTAGAGAGGAGGAAGCCAGGCCCCACTCGGAGCCAAGGAGGAAGGCTTCAGGTGCCCTTTCTCTGCATCAACTATCTGCTCCCCTAACATTAGCCACCCTACACATGCATCAGCCCCAAGCTCCTACTACCGGGAGTGGGCGCCACACCAAGGACAGCTATGGTCAACCTTGGTCATCCTCCTAGCGCCATCTCGAATGACAAGGAGCTCTCCTGAGATTCCCCCCAACACACACATACACTCCCTCAGCCCTCCAAGCCCTCCTAAGGCTGATTTGGCCATGGACTGAGCCCTCCTGGGTTCAGAGACAGCCTGGTGCCCAGAAATCCTTTCCCAGTGTTGGATACGACACTGTATCCACTGTATCCAACACTGTGCCTGGTTGGCGGGTCAGCCCCGCCCTCTCCCAGTCGGAGG